TTTGTTCAAGAAAGGAGGCCAAGGAAATGAGTCTATTTGCAGCATTTGACAGGAGTTTGACTGCACTTACCCCACTCCAAGACAATGGCTTAGTCCTCTCATATTATTTCTCAGCCTCATAGCAGTCCAGATTTGTTCTTCCTGTTTAGTCTTCAAAGCTATACTGCACCTCTCCTTGATTTCAAGACCAGCTATTAGATTTGGTAGCCTGAGTTTTAGCTTTTTAATCTTTTAACCTTTGAAGTAAGTAAAGATATAATAACCCTATGAACCTCTGTTTTTGTGGTAACACCAGTAAAATTCAATTGGTATGAGGCATATCCTATTTTAAAAAATAAGCCTATTTTAACTGTGGTAAGGTTAAATCTTGGTGGTCGGTCATGAGGCTTGAACTCTGGGCTTGGGCAGTGTCCCTGCACTCTTCAGCTCAACATGAGTGCTCTACCGCTTGAGCCACAGTGCCACTTCTGGTTTTCTAGTGGTTTATTGGAGATAAGTCTCTCACAGACTTTCCTATCCGGGCTGGCTTTGAACTATGATCCTCAGATCTCAGCCTCCTGAGTAGCTAGGCGTGAGTCACTGGCACTTGGCTTGCGGGTTTTATTTTTAAGGATTTAAGTTTTTGAGCTCTAAGTAGGTAACTATCAAGAAGCAAACAACAACAAATCCTGGCCAAGATGTGGCCAAAAGTGAACTCTAATACACTATTGGTGGGAATGTAAATCTGTTCAAACAGATAATGGAAAGCAGTATGGAGGTTCCTCAAAAACCTAGACATAGAACTACTCTGACCCAGCAGTCCCATTCCTGTGCATTAATCCAATAGATCCCAAACAAAGTTACAGTAAAGCCGTTAACACAACCATATTCATTGCATACTATTCCCCATATCCAAAAAATGGAATCAGCCCACATGTCTCCCAATGGATGAACGGATCAAGAAAATTTTGCATATATACACTATGGAATTTTACTCATCTATTAGAAAGAATGATACTGTGCCATAGTAAGGAAAAATTATATTAAATGCAGTAAGCCATACCCAGAGAAAAAAAGGTTAAATGTTTTCTCTCATTTGTGGTAGCTAGATTGTGCTTATAAATCTTTAAGTAAACATACTGAGTGGTCTACAAGTGGTTACAAAAGAATTGACAAGTAAATAGACTCTGGAGAGCAGAGTAAGTCAAAGCCTAATAAAATCAACACCAGGAAATGGATATGTCCAAGGGGGGAGGTGGGGCCAAGGAGGAGATGAATGGAGCCAGGGAGTGGGGAAGAATGCAGTACAAGTTGTCATGTCCAAAACGAGCTTTACAACGTCGGTGCGGGGGGGGGGGGGGGGGGGTGAGAGGGGTTGGGATGGGGAGGGAGGGGGGAGGCTGGGAAGGGATGGGAAGGGTAAACAAAGGAGGGGGCTGCAATGCTTGGTAAGAAATGTACGCATTATCCTGCCCATGCAATTGTAACCCCTCTGTACAGTATGTTCACAAATAAAATAAAATTAAAAACAAAACAAAACAAAAAAAAAGAATTCACTGTATAAAGCTGGGCCCTGGTGGCTCACGCCTGTAATCCTAGCTATTCAGGAGGCTGAGATCTGAGGATCTCGGTTCAAAGCCAGCCCGGGCAGGAAAATCCAGGAGACTCTTCAATAAAACCTCTAGAAAACTAGAAGTGGCACTGTGGCCCGAGCTGTAGAGCTCTTGCCTTGAGCTGAAGAACGCAGGGACTGCACCCAAGCCCAGAGTTCAAGCCCCATGACCAACCTCCCCCCCCCAAAAAAAAAAGAAGAATTCACTGTATATACCACAAAGCTAAGAAAAATAAGGAAAGGGGTGGGTAGAAAGGGGTAAGAATGTTGAAGTTGTGACACTGATAAAGATGCATTGTATTCATAAGTTGTTTTTTTTTATAGGGCACTTCCTTTGCCTAACTACTTAGAGAAAAATTTAAAGATAAATAATAAATAGGCTTATATATCCTTGCATTATTTTATAACTACACAAAGTTTAATCTTCAGATTATTTATATTATTGTTATTCCAAGTTTTTCAGTTGTGTGAACTGAGACAAAAAAGAGATTAAATAAGTTGTTCAAAGTTAGATTGTTAGTCATTGTTAATGCTCAGATTTGAGTCTAGTCTTTTATACATTATATCATGTTTTATGTATCACAGTCTTACAGTTCTTCAGCAAGCTAATAAGTGTCTTTTTTGTTTTGCTGATTTTCTAATTCACAGTATTCTCAAATAGAACATTAAATGAAGAATTATTTTAGTATATCGTCATTAATATAATATCTGATTGTTATTGCTAGTGAGTTCAGAGACCCAAAGAAACATAGGTCCTGTGGTTTCCCTTATTTGCAATAATTAGTATATGTCTAGGATAATCTTACCAGACAAGCAAAAAAGGTCAAAAGCTATGTACATATGACCAAGTAAGACGATGCTAAGCGAAATGAACCCCAAGATAGAGACACAAGAGGTTTTTTTCTTTGTCACTGTTGTTTTTAATGTACTATAATTTTTTTTGGGGGGGCGGTTGTGGGGCTTGAACTCTGGGCCTGGGCGCTGTCCCTCAGCGCTTCAGCTCAAGGCTAGCTCTCTACCACTTGAGCCACAGCGCCACTTCCGGCTTTTTTCTTTTTGCTTATGTGGTGCTGAGGAATTGGACCCAGGGCCTCATGCATGCAAGGCAAGCGCTCTACCACTGAGCCACCTTCCCAGCCCCTTTTTTTGGTTTCTTTTGTATGTTCTTCCCCCTGTGGTATAACCCTGTTGTCACTGTATTTGATTTTTTAAAATTTTAACATGAGTGGGGTTTCTGGTCAGTTTAGTTTTTAAATAATATTAAAGCATCTTTCTACACCTTGAGTATGGTATTTTGTTAGGACTATATGCTACAGTAGCCTAATAATGATGTCTTGTTGGTTCAGTCCTTTCTATCTGTTGCTATGCCCTGGTAATCTCCATGTTTTGGTCCTATTTCTGTCCCTTTCATTCTAAATTGGAAGTGCTGTCTTTCTCTTTGGCCAGATCTCTATTTCTATTTTCTCCTTAGGTGATTGGTTGAGTCTTTGTTTCACATGCCTAATTTAGTTTGCCTAAGTTTGTACAGCCACACCATTGACCAAATCTCAGAACACATTCCTATTTAATTATGGCTTGCTGATTATTGGTTTCCACAGAGATCTGCAGCTTTCTCAAACTGTGCAAGCAAAATGTAAACAAATTATATTTCATAGTCCCATCTGAACAAACAAGATGAGCATAAAATTAAAGTTGTTCTTTTCCCTACGACATTTTCTTTGGAAATCTTGTTCTGCAGCTTGCTAGCCTGCCTCCCTTAGATAGTAGGTCCATAACCTTGCTCAAGCCTAAATTAGCCCAGTAAAGGAGATATCATCACATCACATTGTCCACTACTCTATTTTTTTTTAGAAGCAAAATTTGTAACATTGTAAGATAATGTGCCTTCTGCTCATGAGTCCAAGCTTTTATTTTTTTCCTTTAGTTAAAAGAGTACATCTTACCCCAAATAGTTAAATTTCTAAATATCCTCATTGTCCACATTATTATAGAAAGATAATTATATAAACAGAGCTTAGAACTCTCACTATATAACTAGAAATCATGGAGTAGATAAATAGTATTCAGTTCTGAGGAATAGCAAGTATAGCTGGCCTTTTAGACCTTAAAGGTAAAGTTTCTTTGGCTATCAGCCTGCCGAGTAGTAAGTCAGTAAGCAGTAAGCTCTTACCACAAGGAGTGAAAGTTCTGAGTTTCTGGAAGATGTCTTTGGACTCAAATGATTCATTTTGGTGTAGGAGAGAAACCTGAGTATCTCACTGGTAGAATAAAGTCTTGGAGCCTCTGATGTCACATGCACATGTTAAACTTTATTGTGAAGACAAAGCAGGGTTGAATGTACCTTAAAAAAGGTGGATATTTTAAAGGATCAAAGTAACTGCTAAAAAGATGGATTAGTGTTAGGAGAGGTAGGAAAATTAGTGATGCTTTGGCAGGATAAGGGTCTGACTGAATTTGGAATGATGCTGCATATGAAATCGATGCAAGAGTCATTTCAGAGGATGAATTAACTGTATATGTTACGTATTGGACTTCCAAGTTTGGAGGTATATGGAGGGCTGTGAAATATCTATTATGAATGTAGGAAAGTGAAAAAATCTTGGTATCATTGATAGTGATGGAATGTTACTTGGAGTTGAAGAAGTTAGTTTTATTTATGTTTGCTGTTATACCATTCTACAAATCTCTGTCTGTCTCTTGAGCATTTTATAGGCAGGAAGCTTCTGCACATTCTGCACATCATTCCGTTTCTGGCTTCTACTGAGGTGCATGGTTCGATCTATATTTCATAAGCCTACTCCACTGAGAAAAAGTCTGTGAATTAACATTAGAATTATGAAGGGAAGTTTGAAGCTGGAGATTATTAGTTGTTGGAATTAATTTGTATGGGTATGAAAATTGTATTACTAAGATACTAGGAACAGCACCAGGTTTTCAGACTTACAGTCTTTTCATACATTATTAATAGTTCAAATCTTTAATGTGTCCATATAGTAGGAAGGTAAAGCTTATGATATAGGTATTCTTTCAGTTGGGTGTCTTTTTCTGTATTTTTTGTATGTGCAGAAAGTATTTCCCTCTTCCTGCCTTACCTCCCTCCTGGACCACTTCTGGTGTTTAGGAACTGAACTTGGGCCTTCAGCATGCTAGGCAAATGCTCTACTTCTTTAAGTACACATTCAGCCCAAGTATTAGCTTATTTGCCAATTTGAGTATATATAAGATTTCATCTTTGTTCTGAAGATGTTGGGTTTATTATTTACTGAATGTTTGAAAATGTAGTTGTTGTTAGTTATTTTATGACTAAATATTCACATATGGTTCATTCCAGGGCTGATTCACGTGACTTAATATAGCTATCAAAATGATTCATTGCAAATTTCATTGGAATTGTTCCATTATGTTCCAGTGCACTTGCAGGAAAGACATGGTGAAAATTTCAATGGATATCTTTGTGAAGAAATTTCAGCCAGACAGATACCAGCTTTGGAAACAAGGAAAGGATATATACACCATTGACCACATAAAGCCTACTCCAGAGTCTACTCCTGAAGTAAAAGCCTGGCTACAGAGGAGGAGGAAAGTACAAAAGGCACCCAAGAGGTAATGGCTCCACCCCTTACTGTTTGTACTATTTACTGAATTGAAATAGATTATTAAGCATCATGTTCTCCCGGGCTCTTGCTTTCTATTTATTTGTCATAATTTTGCTTTATATCTTACTAAAATGAAGCAAAGTATTTAAAAATTTTCAGGTACTAGTACAAAAATGTAGGAAGACATATAATATTGTATTTGAGAATATCCCTGAAATCAACAGAAATAGAAAATAGAACAACACAGAACCTTTAGCTTCCTTACCCTAATGTAACTTTAAGTTCTGTTGATTCTCTCTATTAGTTTCCATATATATATTTGGGGTCCAGTCGTGGGGCCTGAACTCTGGGCCTCGGCGTTGTCCCTCAGCTCTTCAGCTCAAGGCTAGTGCTCTACCACTTGAGCCACAGCGCCACTTCTGGCTTTTTTCTTTTTGCTTATGTGGTGCTGAGGAATCGAACCCAGGGCCTCAGGCATGCAAGGAAGTGCTCTACCATTGAGCCACCTTCCCAGCCCCTAGTTTTCATATAAGCATCAATAATTTGATTTCCAGATTTTTCATTTGCTACCAAATGCTTTCACTTTTAAGATAATACTTTTCTCATCAGAGTTCTTACTTTTTTTTTTTTTTTTTCTTACTTACTCTTGATTGGCTTCTTAAATCAGTTTGTTTGAGTACGTACAAGGAAGCTCTGCCTACCAGGGACTTTATGACCCTCCTCCCAGGCTAATTCAGTGGGAGGGTGATCTTCTTTGAGTATCACAAAAGAGGGAGATGGCTGTTTCTTCTAGCTTGGAGTTGCTGTGATGGGACTAGGTTGTGGATAAGGTTGAGGCCTGTCAGCAATCAGTTAGCTTTTCCCTGAGGGCTAGCTCCTGAGACACTCACAGAGCCCAGCCTGGAGCCATTCTCAGGATTTATGTTTACTGAATTTCCAATTGTTTTTCTATTACCCTCCTTCAGCTAGGTCTGTTGCCTGTGCTAAAGTGTGGTGGGGCAGCTGCTGGATTTGTTTACCCAATGAAGGAAGTCACTCCTCCATGGGTAGAGCTTTCTCTACCTGGGAAGACAACTTTCCTCTGGGGTGGAGCTGAGCCCTGCAGGTCATGTTCCTTTGACCTGTTGAATGGCTCCTGTTGTCTTCTTCCAAAGCCTGAGTTATGGGCTAGCTGCTCTGACCATCAGTATCAAAGATGGAATTCTTCTCTGGTGGTAGGGTAGGGGGTACTTTCCCACCACTGCTCAGTAAAAAGGAGTGAGGATGTCTTATGTGGTACTCATGCCTTTCCCTTGGTTTCTGGGCCATTCATGGTGTGTCTGGGACTGTCTGTGGTCAGCAGGATGAATATTTCATTGTCAATTCTTGCTGACAGTGAGTAGAATCCACTTGCCCATCGCCTGTGGTGACTTTGTCCCCGGCTCTGTCTATTTGTATGACTGCTGTTCCAGGAGCCACCATGGACATCAGCAAGTGCTTGAATCTGTCTCCTTAACCAAGCTGCCTGAATTTTTCCTTTCTGGCCAAACTCTCTGTACTATGTTGCCACACTTGGTGTGACTCTCCAGCCTTTGACTTTTCATTGGAACACTAAAACTTGTTTCTACACAAGAGCTTTTTTAGCCCCTAGCTTCCCCTCTGCCGTCTTCCTCTGGACTCCTTGACATTTATTTTCTATCATTTTAGAAGGTTGGTGAGCCGAGGAACCTTATGAACGTATAATCACACTACTGCATTTTATAAAATATATACTTTGGGCACAGAACTAGTCAGTAACAAATCTAAAACTTAGATGTTCACATTCAGCAATGATTTTCAAAATACTGTTTTCAAATCAGTTTAGTAGGTTAGGGCCAACATTTTAAAATTAATAGGTAAAATAGAATTAAAATTACCACATTTTACCTGTGGGAAAGGTTAAGTGCTGCCTCATGATGTGCCTATATATGTGTGTGTGCCCATTGTATCACCCTAACATATATGACTTACAAGGTCCAATGGGTATATTCAGAACAATTTTAAAGTAGAAACTGAGAGAATGAGTGCCTTTGAATAAGTGTTACTCCATCTTACCAAAGACACTAGCTTTGGAAAAAAGCATTATTAAATCTTGAGTTTACATCATTTGTACATCATGGGAACTGTACTTTAATGGACAGAAAACAACTCCAATCAGGTATATGAACTGATCTCTTACATTTTTATCGCAATGGGTCTTTTAGTCCAGTAGAGAATACCAATATGTGATAGTGTACACATTGGAAATTTTTGTCAATCTGTTAAAACAATAACTTGCTTGCCTTACTAGAAAGTCAGTTGTTAAGGAGCTTAATTGATACGTTAGGCTGGGGACTTAACTAGATTGCTGATCACTTTTTCAGTAATACCATATCTAGGAACCTCTATCAAATGAAGTGATTCCTTGAAAACTATGAAGTGATTCCTTGAAAACATCTTAATTTGCAGTTTTGCATGTACCACAGTTCTTTTGAATCAGGAAATTTTCCACATAGCCCACTGTGTGCGTTGTCAACAACAAAAGTTGTCATGTCTTTTCATTCCTTGACTTCTTACACTGCCTAGTCAATAGTGTTGTATGCATGTGTGCATGCATGTGTGTATGTGTGTGCGTGTGTGCGTGTGTGTGTGTGTGTGTGTGTGTGTGTTGGGCACTGTTGGGTTGAGTTGATTTGTAATTATTTTAAATTTGTAGGGGTTTTGTATCACATTAAAAAGATACTTTTTACAAAGTTATCAAATGACTTACTAAACTAATAAGGAAAAGTAAGTAAAAGTGTTTGTTGTGAATAATATGTTGACATAACACATTAATACATGTAATTAATGTACTTTCTTATTGTTTTAGATAATGTTGACCTGGAGTTTAATCTGAATGATTTTCTTGCATGCTGAATGTTATATAAGTAGTCACTATTTCACCTTGAAACATAAATAATTCAGGATTTAGGCCCTGAATTTTTAGGGCCTACTATTTGTCTCCCCCTTTTTTATTATGTAAATAAATACTACTTTTCCTTTTCCAGTTTCATTATTTTTGTTCTGTTGATTTTCAGACTTTTGTTTTCAAAATTGCTTAATATTTTAAGTGCTATCTGATATATAAAAACATTTAAAATGTTATACCTTAGTCAGATATGGTATGGTATATGCCTGTAATGATGTCATATATTGTAGAGGCTGAGGCAAAAAGATCATGAGTTCCAAGGTTAGGCTGGGCTACATAGTGAGACTTTGTCTTGTGGGGGGAAAAAAAAACTAAAAGAAAAAAAAAGAACTTTTATTTTATTTTTGCTGGTCCTGGGGCTTGAACTCAGGGCTTGGGCTTTTCCCCTAAGCTTCTCTGTACTCAAGGCTAGCATTCTACCACTGGAACCACCTCTGGCCTTTTCTGTTTATATGGTACTGAGGAATTGAACCCAGGGCTTCATGAGTGCTAGGTAAGCACTGTATCACTAAGTCACATTCCCAGCCCTAAACTTATATTTTGTTACAAGTCTTTAATCAATTATTTATAATAGTTTAGAATTTAGTCTTTAGTAAGTTGATATTTAAACTTAACATATCAAAACTTAATTTTGATGTTTGTCTTTGCATATTATTACAAAACTGCCAGTGTTTTTTTTCTATAAGCAAGTGTCAATAATATCCTATTGATATATATTTTTCATACCTACTATAAACTTTCTCATCTGACCACCACTTCTTTTGTTGATAGTGTCCAGGGAAGTAGGTCTCACTCAAAGAGGCCTAAGGCTGAAGAGGATGAAGAAATGTCCGCTCAAGACAATGGGGAGGAGGTGCCCAGTTCTGACCTAGGCTCAGAGAACCTCAAGGTTGCAGGAAAGCCAAAAGGGGGGTCAAAGCTGGAAAAGACGGACACACCTTCAGAAGAGGCCTCTGTCAGCAGGATGCAGGTGGATCAAAATTTCTCAGATAATACCAAACTCTCAGGTGAGAAAAGAGGCTAATCTGTTTTGCATGTAAGTAATATGTGTTCATTCGTCTTATACCTTAAGTTTGTGTTCATTAGCATAGACATCTTACTTGGACCACCTAGCTTATCCAATAAACGTATAGTAAAGTTTATACAATAAAGTTATAGGGTAACTTATCCAGGAGGGAATGCTGTGAAAGTCAGGGACACTGCTGCTACATATAATGAAGTTTTCAGACAAACGGCAGCATTGCTTATTTGGATTAAGGAGAAAGGTTGCCAAATGAAAAAAAAATTTAGTGCAAGCTAGTTTACAGTATACAGTACATTTTTAGAAGGCTTCTCTTGATTTCACATGAGGGAGAAAAAAACAGTTTATAGACATTTGTACTGGACTTCATTTTAAGAGGAAAATGACAAGTAGGATTTTTCAACAAAACAACTAAAATTAAAAAGTTAACCTAGTAAAATGGTATGGCTGTTCTTTTATACTAAAGCCCTTTTTAAGAATCTCAGTCACTTGCTTCCCCCCCATTTACTGTATATTTCTGAAACAGTGAAATGGTTTGCCTCTTTAATATCTATTGGTGTTTTGTCCTGTAATTAATTGAGGTAGTTGGTAATTCCTGCTTTCCTTCTATACCTCCATCCTGTAAACTCTTCTGTCATGAGACTTCTCCAGATCCAGCCCTGTACTGCTCTTTTCTCACAAGGCAGAACATCTCATGCATTGTTGTAGAAAGTGCTCTCATTCCAGTTTACCTGGGTCCACTCTAGTTATTCTTGCTATAGCTGTCCATATGGCAGTCCCACTGTATATATTCTTTTTATAAGGAAGGGCTTTCCTTTGCCCTCTTACTTTGTTCTTATGATAAAAGTCTGTAACAATGCTTGATAGGAATTGTACTCATTACCTTACTCATGAAACTGTAATCCCTCTGTACAGTATCTTTAAAATAAAGAAAAAGTCCTTGCATACTCGTAATTTGTACCTTAGTTACTACTCCAGCTTCATCACCTTTGCTCCTGAAAAATCTGGATGCCTAGTTTAAACTATAGATTTAGTTTTTGTTTCCCAAATGAGACCATACTACTTGGAAGGACTAGACAAATAAGCATAAAATATCTTGTTTAAAGGGCACGATAGAATTTCATGGGTTTTGCTGTTCTACAAAGGACAGACTAGATAGACAAGGTGATTTAGTATTAATGATAATCTGAATTGAGTTGTGATGAATAGATAGAAGATTGATTATATTGAGAAGGTAGGGAAATGAGTTGTAACAAATTCAAAGACTACAATACAATATGCATCTATTTCTTTACAATTCCTCATCATGGTTTCTAGTACACTGTGCTTAACCACTTTATGAGTTGCTGGAACATTTAGGTTCAGAGTGCCGAATTTTTATTAATTCTGTCTAGTCATTTGCATTTTGTCCTCTAGATCTGGAGCCTGGAAGTACTCTTATTAGAAAACTTTATAGATATGATAGACAAGTGAATAGATAGGGGAGAGGAAGTGCTATGTAATAGTCTTTACTTTGTGTCCAAAATGACAAATGTTCTATGTAATTATCTGGTAGCTATGTGAAGATTGAGAACCACCACACTTCCCATGCCTTTCCATGCTATTAGTGTAGGAAATAATTTGTATTGTATCTGTATTGTCCTATATGTGCCATTTACACACATTTTTGGGACTGCCATATTTCATCAATAGCAACTGTAAGTATCATAGTAGGAATTTAACTCATATTTTTAGATACATTCCTAATTAATATTGATTTGATAACTATTAATTGCCCTGTCTTGATATTAATCACTGTTAGAAACTCCTGTTAATCTCCTGTTTGTAGTAGATATTTGCTTTTACTGAGGTCCAAGGTCTTGTCCAAACAACCATGGAGGCAGCATGATTCTTTAGTGAACCTTCACACCTAGGTCTCTGGATGTTGGGAAGGCTAGTAGTCAAAAATATTTAGGCAATCCCACTTAAAAATAAAGCAGTGATGAACTGGGAAGGTGGTTCAGTGGTAGAGTGCTTGCCTCACATTCATGAGGCTCTGGATTCGATTCCTCAGCACCACATAAACAGTTCAAGTGGTAGTGTGCTAGCCTTGATCTGAAGAGCTGAGTGGCAGTCCCAGTCAATCCCAGATTGCAGCCTCCACGATCATCTCCTCCCCCCGCCCCCCCAAGAAAAGAGTATTGTAATGAAAAATTTGTCAATAATTTTTTTTTGTACCTCAGGAAACAGCTGCTTAAATGCATCTAAAATGGAGGAAACAAAAACTGAAGATGACAAAGCCTACACCATAAGTGTCTCATATATGTCCCAGGAGGCCAATGATTCTACGCCATTGTCTAGTGGCCTGGTAAAGGTGGAGGAATCAGACCCACGTAAGCACCTGTGGCAAAAGTCTCCCGAGTTTGGTTCCTCAGTGGCAGAGAGCAATGATGTGTTTACAGAGGGAGAAGAGAGTGATGTAGAAGACCGGGGAAGTGGCCTGGAACCTGGGGAAATCTCAGCAGTCCTCAGTGAAGATAGAAATGACTTCAAGGTCCCTGGCGTACGTGGTGATATCTATTATTATTACTGTTTCACTGAATGAGAACGGTTACTAAAATGCCATGCTGTGCACTGAAATTTTGCTTTAGGGTATAAATATATAACTTTACACTGGGTTTTAATCATATTCCTCCAAGGATTGAAAGATAAATATCCCATGAGCTCTAGCCAATGTTGCATTCATTTAGCATAGAGCTTTTGGCCATATAGTAGAAGGTTAATATTCTTTCAGTTAGGTTTTTAAAAAATAATGTATATTTTGAGATTAAGGACGGTTCATATACAGTTGTGAGAAGTAGTATAGAGAGATTCTGTGTACATATTGCCCTTTCTCTTTCTTCCCCTACTTAGCTATTTGCTCTCTGCTATCTAGGAAATGTAGGGTATGAAATCGTACTGTACTGTCATGGTTTCACTCAAAGTATGGAGTAGTTTTGTCCTCCACTGCCTTAGGTGTGCTGGGAAGACTTCCCTGCTGGTCTGTCTTCCTCTTGCCTGCAGTTCTTAACTATTGCCTACTTCATACTACCTGTATGCCTCTGTTTAGGCATTAGAGCTTACTCATTTTTTCATTTGACTCTTTCTTCTTGGACACTGGATCATAATAACAAGGTGACCTTCAGGGCTCTGCATTTCCTCAGAAAGAGGCCCTTTGCCTTTCAGAAAAATCAAAACCGTTCTAGATTACTAAGTTCCCAGGCCGACTTTTTTTTTTTTCTCCAACCTGAATAAAATTTGCTTTCATCATATCTGTCCCTGTAACCATATGCTTGGGAAATGGTCAGGGGAACTAGGGTTGTGTGTCAGCATTCTGAACCTTTTTTGCCATTTAAAACCTAACTAAAGCATTTAAGTGATTAAATGAGGAGCTCCAGCTCAAGTTGTTTGAGCTAGCAAACCAACCTGTTGCCTGGGCAGAACCACCTCCTATTGTTTCTGCTTATTTGTACTGACCGCAGGACTTGTAGTATCTTTTAGCAGCAAGGCAGATTATAAAAGGGCAACAGCAACTTTGAATCCTGTTTCTCAGTATCTTAAAATGTCAAATAAACAAAATGCCCTCATTTGATTTTATTGATTATCATTGTATATAGGACTATGCATTCTGCTGAACTACAAAACAAAGATTTATTAAGAAACATGAAAAATGAAAATTGTATCATTCAAAAAGGCAACTGAGAGAAGATTAAAAATGCACTATTTATAATTGAAGTGATTTCAAGATGGCAGTATAGGTCATTAAATAGTAGTTTTTAAGTTGAGAGTGGAGGTACACATCTGTCATTTTAGCACACTGGAGGCTGAGGCAAGAGGCTCATGAGTTTGAGGGCAGTCCAAACTCAAAAAAATAATTAAATTTTTTACTTATGTATGTGACTGAGATGTTGTGGTTCATTTTTGAATAAAAAGGAAACATTTTCAACTTGGCTGCATTTCCTTTTCTTCTGTCTCCCGCTCCCTCCCCCCCTCCCCTTTCCTTTCCCTCTCCTTCTTCTCTTCTGCTTTCCCCTTCCCTTCCCCCTTCTCTCTGGGATTTAAACTTGTGGCATTTGGCAAGTGTTCTACCACTTGAGCCATGCCCCCTCGCCTTTAGTACTTTTGAATAGTGTCCAGAGCCTGGACTGCACATCTACTGTTTATATTTCCATGTAATTAGGATGACAGGTGCTTGTAATACCCCAGCTTTTATAGGTTGAAATGGTTGTGATAAACTTTTTGCCCAGGCTGGTCTAGAACCAGTCTCTGCCTCCTAAGTGGCTGGAATTCCAGAGCAATTGTGCCTGCTTGGATTTTCCTTTTCTTTAGGGATAGCGAAATCACCTCTTAAGTGTAATGAAGTTGGAGATTTAGTTGACCTCTTGGAAAAATTACTAGCTGAAGTTTCTTCTTTTGACTCAATGTTTAATTTTCTTCAAGAACTAATTTCTGAAGATGCAAATAAGCATACGTTTTCATCATGATTAACACATTTTTATTTATGAGAGTGTTTTCATGTTTTTTATTTTGTATACTTTTTCCATTTGTTTTATCACCAGATGATAGAGGGAGAGACCAAAACTGCTAAGAGTTGGCGTCATCCACTTAGTAAGCCTCCAGCCAGATCTCCAATGACTCTTGTAAAGCAGCAGGCAGCAAGTGATGAAGGTGAGTTCATGACATTCTCATTCTTCAGGATTTTTTTCTTTGTTTTGTTTTTGTTGGTCATGGGGCTTCAACTCTGGGCCTGGGTGCTGTCCCTGAGCTCTTCAGCTCAATTCTAGTGCTCTACCACTTGAGCACGGCACCACTTTCATTTTTTTGGTGGTTTATTAGAGATGAGAGTTTCCTGCCCAGGTTGGCTTTGAACCATGATCCTCAGATCTCAGCCTCCTGAATAGTTAGGATTACAGGCATGAGCCACCCTCACCTGGCTAGGATTTTTTTTCTCTAAGTGTTTGTTCTAGTAAACTGCTGTGAAAACTTGATCCCATAGTTGCGTATTATTAGGAGAACATGCAATATATAATTTAGAGTCAAAAGCAATTTTGGTTCTTTTTTTATTAAGTATTTTATTGTGAAAATACCATACAGAGGGTTACAATTACATAAGCAAGGTAATGAGTACATTTCTTTTTTTTTTTGGGTCCGGTCGTGGGGCCTGAACTCTGGGCCTGGGTGCTGTCCTTCAGCTCAAGGCTAGCGCTTTACCACTTGAGCCACAGTGCCACTTCTGGCTTTTTTTTTCTTTTTGCTTATGTGGTGCTGAGGAATCGAACCCAGGGCCTCATGCATGCAAGGCAAGCGCTCTACCACTGAGCCACCTTCCCAGCCCATGAGTACATTTCTTATCAAGCATTGTTGCCTCTCCCTTTGTTTCCCCCTACCATCCCTGCTCTCCCATCTCATTGTTGCAATGCGTCCACCTGTATCCCTATTTAAACAATTTGTTTTTTCCCTTCCCTTCCCCAAATTATACCAACATCAAATACAGTGAAAACAGGGGCTATGCCGTGGGGGAGGGACATACAAAGTAACAAAGAAATCATCTTATAAATATGTTAGAAACAATAGCAAGAAAGAAAAAAAAACATTTGAGTACTTATCTTGGGGTTCATTTAGGAGCAATTTGGGTTCTTATTTGCCAGTGCTAGGTCTTGAACTCAGAGACTCAAGCTCTCACTTTGTGTATTACCACTTGAGTCACACTTCAGCCAGGCCTTTTCCTGGTTAATTGGAGATGGAATCTTTTGGATTTGTTCTGCCCAGGCTGGCTTCAAACCTGTTCCTTAGGTCCTCTACTACTCACCATGCTGAGTACGTAGGATTACAGGCATGAGTTGCCAGCCTGTAATTTGGATTTTAGGATAAAGACTTGCTTCATATAATCTAGCAGTATTACTAGTAACAGTGTCTTGCGTTGCAGATCATAAAGTAAGTCATTCTTGGCATTACTGAAGGTATTTTACAACAGCTGAGTTTTTTCTCATGACAAGTGGTGATTAATTCCTGTAATCCTAGCTTTGTAGAAGGCATAGGCCAGATGATTGCAGTCCCAGGCCCTCCTGAGCAAAAAGTAGGATATCCTCACTGAAAATAACCTAAAAAACAAAAAGCCGAGAGGCATGGCTTAAATTGTACAGCACTTACCTAGTGAGCAAGGCCCTGAGTTCAAGCCCTAGTCCACTGAAAAAGGGAGGTCACTTCACTGATCACTTAATCCATGCCCCTGTCTTTACTTTTAGTGTGATCCATTGAGTTCCTGAGTAAGAATATGCAACAATTGAGACTGTATGCAGTCCTTCCGTATTCTGTTAAATTGTGTGCAGGGAAACATTGCTCTGCTTTACACTGATTTTTACTTAATGTTAAGGGGTCTAATTTTTATTTACCACTCCTAGGCATAACATTCTTTGGTTTGTTTAAGTTAGTTCCCCTTTTTACCTCTCTTTTGACAAATATGCATTTGGTGCCCCAAATTCAAGTCAAACCTTTAAAGAGGCTGAGATCAGGAGGAATGTGGTTTAAGGCCAGTTAGGACAAAAAAATTCATTAGGTCCATGGCAATTTATAAAAACTGCATACTATCATGTGTGCTTGTCATCCCAGCTACATAGAAGTGCAAAAAGATCATGGCCCAGGCTGACCCAGGCAAAAAGCTAGAGCCTGCCCTCAAATATCTAAATCAAAACCAAAAGGCTGGAGTAACTGCTCAAGTGGTAAAGCACCTGCTTAGCAAGTTCAAAGGCCTGCATTCAAACCCAATGCTGTCTCCCCTAAAAAACAACAACCCAATTAGACCATTGACTATTTCTTCCAAACACCTCTTAACATTGTGCGGGCCTATTCCTATTTCTAAAAGATGCAGTAAAACAGGTGTTTCGTAAAGAGTCTTCCTTTCAGTTACACTCCACTCTTAATCAAGGACATCTTGACTGTTCCAGGCTGTCCAGGGTGCAGCAATGTTAGGTCAGGCTTCTTGTTTATATTAAATGCATCTGCCAGACTATATTAGCAGACTTTTTACTCTTACACACCATCTTCTTTTGTAACATATATTTAACTAGGAAGAAAGATTTGGTAAGGATGTAAAACAAAAAAAAAAACCTGAGGGTCAGATAAGAGTGATGGTTCTTTTTATAAAACTAATCCAGGGTGGAATTCTAGCTCCAGTAATATAGAAGTAATGAAACACCTTAGTGTGTATTTGTATACATCATTGAGGAACTTGCTATCATCCTGCCTTGGTCTTCCTATTCCTAGTTCTGGGATTATTGACATGTACCACCACATCAGGTAAAATTCTTTTAATCCAATTTTAGTTTACCCAGCACAAACTATATTCCTCTTATTGTCATTAAATTGAAGCACAAATTTGTATAAAGTAATTGACATTTAACCTACAATATTGCTGAATTTCCATCACCTGCCATCATAGCTTGCCTATAGCATGCTTCCCTGAAAGGATGCACAACTAGCACAGAGTAATGAGAGTTTTCCAAGGGTGCTACTTTTCCCAGGAAGTGTATTTTGAGTGGGCCATTGTAAGCCACCCAGACTTTCTCCCTGGATAGCAGTTCTGGTTTCAGTCTGCAAAATTTATCAATGGATATTTGGTTAATGAAGTTGTCTCAAGTGTTTGAGGTTATTTTCCATCAGAATAAGAACTTCTGTTATCCACTGAGGATTTTTGAGAATTGAGAAAAATTGCAGAGTTTATCTGATGGCTAAAGATTTTTACACATTTCTAAAATGACAATGGAAAATATGCTTTAGCTTAGAGTGATTATTTATATAATTAGATCAGTTACTGTTACCTCTGCTTTTTCTTCTTTTATGCCCATGTTGTTTGAGCAATTCCAATAGACTGAGCATAATTGTTAAGATAAGATGAATGGTAGGTTTTGTGCTCATTGGGAACACACAATTCTCAAGCTAGTTGCTTCTGGGGATTTTTTTTTAATTTTATTTTATTTGTGAACATACTGTACAGAGGAGTTACAATTACATGGGCAGGATAATGCGTACATTTCTTACCAAGCATTGCAGCCTCCTCCTTTGGCTTCTGGGGATTTTTAACCCTAACTGTTCAGCTACTTTTGCCTTCCACGTGTATGGGAGCATAACTGTGTTAGAGCATTTGAGAAATTGTCTTTTTTTTTTTTTTTGGGTCCGGTCCTGGGGCCTGAACTCTGGGCCTGGGTGCTGTCCCTCATTTCTTCAGCTTAAGGCTAGCACTCTACCACTTGAGCCACAGGTCCACTTCTGGCCTATTTCTTTTTGCTTATGTGGTGCTGAGGAATCGAACCCAGAGCCTCAGGCATGCAAGACAAGCACTCTACCACTGAGCCACCTTCCCAGCCCCGAAATTGTCATTTTAAACAGCAATCAGTGTTGAAAGTAATCTTCCCAATGAATGATTTCAAACAGTACATGACTGAACATTCCTGGCGAACTCCTGCACAGATGACAGAGGAGTCTTAAGTTGCTCTTTTCTTCAGAACAGTGCAGTGGCTGTTTGATACTCAAATGCCTGAAAGTGGTAGTCATTTTCTTATGGAAGATTGCATAGTTATAGGATGCCCAAGAAATTCCTGACTCTTAGCCTGCTCATTACTGGAAGATTTTCCATATTAGAAGCAAAACACAAAGGTAGTGGAAAAGAGGGTATATGAGCATACATAACTGAAAAAAGATAAGAACTAGTGTTGAGGGGCTGGAAAGTTGGCTCAGTGGTAGAGCGGTTGCCTTGCATGCCTGAGGCCCTGGGTTCGATTCCTCAGCACCACATAAGCAAAAAGAAAAAAGCCGGAAGTGGACCTGTGGCTCAGGTGGTAGGGCACTAGCCTTGAGCTGAAGAGCTGAGGGACAGTGCTCAGGCCCAGAGTTCAGGCCCCACAACTGGACCCAAAAAAAAAAGAACTAGTGTTGAATTCATTTTTGATGAAAAAAGTCTTAAATTTATACTATGTGTATTTATAACTTCAAAGAAGACATTAAATTTTTTTTGTAACTGAAATGCATTCTTGTTATATTTTTCCTAATATTTGGGAACTAGAAAAGATAATCTTGATATGTGGAGGAAAATTCCATTTTGTTTATTTTCCTGTTTAATAAATTATACAGGTGTTCAACTGAAACAGATTTGAAAGAAAAATGGTGCAGGTTGTCATATTCTTGAAGCAGATTGGATAGTTAGCTCTTCTGCTGTTGAGCTTTGTTGGTATTTTTTGGCATATTCTTGCTCTAGTCCAGGTACAGGGTCTGCATGGAAGGATACTAGAATTGAGAGTATAAATCTATTGAGGGACACACAGCTCAAAGATCTGAGCAATGGTTCTTTTTCTTTGGATGATGAGGATACCTACTAAAAGTCTCATAATTCCTTTACAGATTAGTTTACAGGTCTATATACAAATAGAATTTCACCAATAAAATTCCAACAGGTTACATTTAAATCACTGGATCTGAAGAAGCCAATTGGAAGTCTTCTATTGCCTAAACTTCACCTTCCATACATTATAAAACAATCAAATCTGATAGGTTTGACTTCTATAGATGGAAGACATGTTATCACATTTCATCACTGAGAAGTAGAAATGTTACCTGTCTCTAAAGCTCTTCTTGTGCTACATGCATACATAAAGCACCTGGTCATTATTTTATTT